GTAAGATTCTTTTGCTAACTTTTTCTTCATCTTCTCCTTCTTCTTTTCTTTTTTTTTTTCTTTTTCCTTTTTTTTTTTTTTTTGTTTTTTTACTCCTCTCTCTTTCTTCTTCTTTTCTTTCCCCCTCCACCCCTTTGTCTCCTTCCTAATGTCGTTACAGATAATAATCTCTTGAAACGACTCTACGAGGAAAATCGTGACTCGACTCAACTCCTTTCAAGCTACGAGACAACAAGAACACGTCCAAAACACTCTCGAGCAAAACCCTCTTTCTCGCTTCATACTTTATCGGATTCAAAACACATGGCCGGCTTATGACTCTTTGCAATCTTAAACTTTTTTGTCCGACCACTCTACCGAGTTCTATTTTATCGAACCAGATCGAAATTCCTTCGAAAGTGTGCTTCAACTTAATGTAACTTGGTAGAACATAACGCTATATCATATATTGATTTAAAGTAAATATTTAAATGTTATTAAAAATTTATCCGATAGAATAAAATAGGTTTATAGTAAGAAAGAATTAATTCTGTTTTTATGAATATTTCCTATTATAACTCTCTATCTTTTTCTCTCTCTGTTTTTATCTATCTATCTATCTATCTATCTTATTTAAGATGGAGAGAAAAAAAGAGATAAATGATTTGTCTCTCCGCCGAGCTTTGTCCTATAATAACTAACCGTTAATTTAAATTATCTATTAATTTAAATCTCGTTAGTTCGGTAGATAAGTATCGTAGATAAATTCAGTAGGGTGTTTATTTTACGTTAATGGATGTCTCACGGTGATTAGTTTTCACGGGTTTCAAATTTTACGAAAAGTTTTATTTTCTTCTTTTTTTTTTTTTTTTTTTTCTTTTTTTTTTTGTTTCTTTGCTTTCTTCCGACAAGTCCGTTCGAGAATCATAAAGATCGGTGGATTGGATGAGAAAGATGAAACCCGTTTGTGAGGAATCGTTTACCTAATAAAGCACACGTGCGAGAGTCGAGAAGAGAAACGATAACGGAAAATAAAAAAAAAAGAGTGAAAGTGGAAAGATTTAAAAGAGATGAAGGGAAAAGGATCGAAAGGGTAGAAAATGGTTCGTTATATTAGCCCCGAGTTCTTTCTTCAAAAGAAGGAATGCCATAAAATTCGAAAAAGATAGGTAATCTTTAGGATTAGATGACGAAGAGGCGCCATGGTGGTCTATCTTTTGATCAAAATTTATTAATCCCATGGCATGGGCATTTCTCTTCGCTCGTGTTATCACACGGTTAAATGTTTAATTCATCGATCTTAAAATATTACAGCATACCAATTAAAATGATAATAATAAATGTAGCGCTTTTACCTGTACGTTATGACCTCATATTACGATCGTTTCTCAATGAATTCGTAAAATCCATTTCTTTTGATTGTACCATAATAAAGTATGTGTGTGTGTATGCGTGTGCGTGTGTGTGAGAGAGAAATGTAAATTGTACAACTCTAACAATTTACACCGCTATATTCGACACACCTCATTCGATTTGAGTATTTAATTGTTGTTACACCACGTTTCCTAAAAGTCACGATTTAAAATAAATAAATAAATAAATAAATAAATAAATAAATAAATAAATAAATAAATAAATAAATAAATAAATAAATAAATAAAAGGGAGAAAAAAGGGAATAAAATTAAAAAAAAAAAGAGAAAAAATTAGGAAATATCATGAGTCAAAATTACGTATGTATATATGTATCTATACATATGTACATTTAAAAGTACACATGTAAGTTCATACACATATTCGATTCGCAAAAACGTCGAAGGACAGGAAACGGCCGACGTTGATGAAAGTTCGATCGAAGGTAGCGATCCTGTCGGACGATAACGAAACACTCGAGAGTAAGAAAGAAAATTTACGATTTCAGGATGTATTTTAAATCGAGGTTAAATAAAGAAAAAACAAAAGAAAAAACAAAAAAAAGAAGAAATAAAAAATAAAAAGAAATCATTTCGAGATCAATCGAAAGCGATGCAAAGGTACGAGTAGTATTATGCGAATAGCGTAAGGGTATACATATGCGTAATCTCAAATGTAAAAAAAAGTTGAAGGAAAGAAAAGGGATAGAACTGGGTAGGACAGTGTAGAATGGCGAACAGGAGTACCGGGGAGAAGAGAGATCGTCGTAAGAACTAAGCGATAAGAAAAACGGACGTTTAAAGTGGTCGGTAATTAAATAATAGCGCGTTTGTGCTTGTGCTGCCTGTGGCTGTGTGGGGCTTTACCGTAGAGATTTCATTAAAATGCCGCTTAAAACGCGATACGATATTTCGCGGAATATGAATACGATCTCGAGTACGGAATAGGTGTACTCGCGTAGCTAGTACCATTTCTTTTTTATGTAAAATACCAAACGTAAATTACAAACGAATTGGTTGGCCCGGTTGATTTTATTCACATCCATCTACTAACGTCATTGTACATGACGTAAAGCAGAGATAATAAGTAAAAGATAATGAGAGTTAACATTGTTTTTCATCTGTCGATAAAATACGTTTATTCATTGTTACCATACTGCTCTTTGTGATAGTAAAATATTTTATGTATGTACATATATATATATATATATATATATATATATATCGTATGAATTTTTCATAACGGAGCTGTTTTCTTTTCTCTCTCTCTGTCTCTCTCTGTCTCTCTCTCTCTTTTTTTTTGTTTTGTTTTGTTTCGTTTCATGAGCTTTCTCTTTGATAAATATATCGCATATAGTTCGTTAAAAAATTGAATAGATACATACATATATATGTATATATATATATATATATATGATCGTTCGTAAATGATTACATTTTAAATTTGATTTATGATAATGATATTATCAAAAATAAAAATTCAATGATACTAAAGTATTTGTTAAAATCATTAAAATCGTAGAAATAAGAATTTAGATGGAATCGATGGATAAAATATTATTCGTAGTTTAAATATATTTTTACGAACGTTTAATCGAGCGAACGATTTAAAACGAGAGGGTACGATTCCAATCGTGTTTCGCACGAAGAAATTCGATGAAAACGTCTTTGTGGTAAGAAAAGTGGCTCCCGCAAAAGTTGCTTTAAGCGGATACGATATCGTACTTACTTGCTTTCCCGTAACACAGATTACTTGTTGTACGTGTCGGCGTTCGTACACTCGCTTATGGTAGTACACGTTCTCTGTTATTATAACCGTACTATTATCGGTACACCTGTGCACGATACTTACTATTAGTGTACATCGTTCGCGTATGTAGTTACATGGGTTTATACACTTCTATATAAGATAATAAATAAAAGGGATCCTGCAATTAAATTAACCTTTTTTGCCGCCTAGTCAAAAATTCTTTTTGTTTTACCAAAAACGCGCGACGAGTATCAAGGAGATACAAAAAAAAAGAAAAAAAAAAACAAAAAAAAAAAAAGAAGAAACGAAAAAAAAAGGAAGAAAAAAGAAAAGAGAGAGAGAAAAGTTTTATGCTCTTTGGTGCGATCGAGTCGATTCGATTGAACGACCATGCCATTTTCGATAATAGTTTCCACGAAAGATGTAACTACTTTCTCTCCGATTGCACCATATACCGGACAAATTAATCAGAGAAAATTACGGAATTACCGAGCTCGAACGATCACCATTTTCGACATTCCCTTCAATAACGTTAAAAGTGAACGGCGACGAATTATCGCTGAATGATAATAATCTATATATCGCTATGAACATAAGGGTTTATTTCAAATATCGTATTATTATCCTGGTGTAATCGTTTAACAAAAATTTCAACATTTTTGCAATACCTCGACCATTATCTTGAATATGAAATTACATTAATTTTGATGATACATCGTGTATTATTATTATAAAATATATTTAATGATTCGATGCTATTGCAAAATTTAATAATAAAATTTTATATATATATATATATTAACATCATTGAAGTATCGACTTATCTACGGATTCATCCTAATTCAGAAAGGATAATCTCGAAATATCATAGAAGGATAACATCGATAACGTTGATTTAACCAAGCAATCGATTTTGGTCTATCGCCTACGATCTTTTGAGATCGGATTTAGGAAGACTTTCCACGAATCCGTCTATCGAACGAATGAATATTATTCGATGGGATAGGCTTTTGATATAACCTCGACAAACTCAGATTATCCTTTTTCGAAAAAGGTTACTCGTTTTATGATACGTCTTTAACCGGTCTACAAGATTACGAAATATTACTTTTCTTCGAATACCGAATTATTATATAGCCCATATTTATCCGCGTTTTATTCTCACTACGCTATCGTAAATTATTATTTTCGAAAAGAGAGTGAGAGAGAGAGAGAGAGAGAGAGGCAGAAAAAAATATAAAGGAAAAAAAAAAGAAAAAGAAAAAGAAACGTAAACTTCGAGAGAGAGAGAGAGAGAAAGAGCACGAGCACAAGGAAGATATAAAATGAAAGAACGAAAGAAAGAAAGAAAGAATGAAAGTAAGGAAGAAAGAAATGTGAGAATCAACTTCCACCGTGTGACAAAAGTATTCCGAGGTGTAAGAAAGAATATAATAAAAGAAGTATGCGAAGAACAAACGTTATAAGTTATTGAGCAAAGTTAGAAGCAAACGTTCCACAAGCATGTTAGCCCAACACGGTATAGTGTGACAACTTCTAACGTTTCGGTCAATATTCGAACTAACTTTGAGTCCGATGACCGTTTCTAATCTGAGAAGTTAACGATACAGAAGAGAATATTCTTGCTCGTTCGTGTTAACTTTCGTAAAAAAAAAAAAAAAAAAAAAAAAAAAATATGAAAGTAAAGAAAAGAGGGGAAAAAAGAAAAAAGAAAAATGCATTAGCTTACCGATGAAATTGTTTAATGTTTAAAAATGTAAATTCTTTTATTTCTTCGAAATGAATATATTAAGATATTAAAAAAATGTCAGACAATTATACCCAGTAGCTTCATTTTTACTCTCTCTATTTTTGGCAAGC